GTACACCGACATTGCCAGCCTATCAAAGCTGCCAATCGATGCTGCCTGTTAGTCGGACGGGGCACGTGACTCACCAATTTTCTCAACGTGCACGTGAGGTTACGGCCACCTTAAGTATTTTTTTTTTAAAAATTATTTGTGTATTCCCATTTTTTGTCAATTGCACTTTCATTATTATAATTTTTATTTATTAGAATGTATGATAAAATAAATGATAAGAGTGTAATTAATAAAAAATTGAGTACAAATAATATTTTCCTTATTTTATCATAACATTATTGTTACACCATCCTCTCATGACATGACCAAATTTACCCTTCACTTCAAGGACATGGAAAATTGATTTCATTTCCAATCCCAATTTTTAAAGTTTGACTTAATTCGCAGCCCAATAAATGTTCTAAAACTTGCTTCCTTTTTTTTGGGGTGTGAATTCGAAGCTCTAACAATGAGTTTGGATTTAAGAATATTTTGAAAAAACTTTTTTATATATATATTATAACACATTAATGTAATGTTTGTGAGATGAAAATGTGATTGGAAAAAAACAATTTAGAGAACCTCTAATTTTTATTAACAAATAAATACCTATCCAAACATGTTGATGTTAGTTAACAATTTTAAATTTGGTTAACTAAACAAATTCCAATAAATTCACTCTTTTTATAATTCTATAGGATCACTTAAAAAATCGTCTAATATGAAAAACATTGAAACATACGAAAAATTACTTGTAAGTTATAGTAATATCATAGATACTGTAATTTTAAAATTTACATTCATACATACATAAAATCAAGCTCTAAAATCATTAGTTTAGGGTTTTAAAAATTCACTAAGTTTATACTTTGGCAAACACGGAGGCAGCATCCGACCAGAAGCCTTAACTAAAGGCCAAGCCGGTCATTTGACGCAAACCACCTTCAAAAGGCTCAAATCCTGCAATTGAAAAAAAATAAAAATAAAAAAAGCGGAGACTCTGGAAGCCGATTATAGCGTGCGCAGATACCTCAGAGGCTCACACCTCAGCGGAGCCACCAGCAGCTGCTGCCCTTTTCCATTGTGGCCCCCAGCACCACGGACAACAAGATGCACTCCTCTTTTACTTTTCCGCTCCTCTAAGGCGCCGTCACCAAACCCCCCAAGCCCAGCCCCCCGCCTCCGATAAAACCCAACACAGCTCATACGCAATAGTAACCATTTCTTCAGTATCTTGTCCCCATTGCCGATGGGTGCGTTGGTTCGTCTAGCCGTCGTCCGGAGTACATCTTACCACAAATAAAGCAGGCTAGTAGGGAAATCGTATCGAATAATATTCCGGTGATGCTCAGTGCACTATGTGCTCGCCCTAAATCTTGGCTATTCACTGCCTTATTCTTGTCACATGCCCACAGCTCGGCAGCGGCTCTTGTTCACAATCGGCTCATTGGCAGCCCTCTTTTGAAATCCGTAGTGGTTGCCAACGCCGATCAAAGGAGACACCACTCCAGTAGTTGTCGTCTCGTCGACACCTCCGCTCAGGGTGGCGCTGCGTCTATATGGCATGCAATCCTTCCCGCCGGTGACGGGGATTTGGATCTCCACCGAACCAAGAGGAATGTGCTCGTCCACCACCACGATGAATTGATGAATAAAGGTTAAGGCTCGTGGAATGTGGCTTGGGATGCCAGGCCGGCGCGCTGGCTTCACAATCGTGATTCTGCGTGGTTATTGTTTGGAGTTTGCGCTTGCTTAGCCGCGCCCCCATTGCCGCTGTTAGCGGATTCATCTGAGTTCGTCGATGGGGAAACGGATGAATTCAGACATGAAGCAGCAGCAATGACCGTTGTAGAAAATGGAAAGTGTGCCAACTTTAGAGTTACAGGTATTTTAGTTGGAGCGGCTAATTTTTAGTTATATAAAGTTTGATGAAGTTTGAATAGATGATATTAATTTGAGATTAATTTTCCATTATATGCAATCCAGATTACGTATTCTATTACTACTCTTATCACTTTTAGAGTTACACGTATTTTAGTTGGAGAAGCTGATTTCTAGTTATATGGAGTTTGATCAGATTAATTTTCGATTATATGCAATCCATATTTCGAACTCTGATGACAAATCTAGCATTATTCCATCACTGTTGTTTGTTGTTGCTGTGATGGAATGATTGTAATGGATTAATTTTCGATTATATGCAATCCAGATTTTGAATTCCGAGCTATGATCACCAACCTTATTACTACTCTATCATTGGAAGAATAGAAATCCGTTTTTTGTTGTAATGCAATGATTGTGATGGAATGATTGCATGGAGACAGGGGTGCCAGCAGATGGGAGATGTCTGTTTAGAGCAATAGCTCACGTGGCATGGTTGAGAAAAGGGGAGAGTGTTCCTGATGAAAACCGCCAAAGGGAACTCGCTGATGAATTAAGAGCTCTAGTATAATCTAACAGCTTCATTTCTTTATGTTTCTTTTTTTTTTTGGCTGAATTTGCCTTTGCTTTTGAACAATTTGCTGAATTTTTTTTTCCGGGCCGTAGGTTGTTGAGGAGTTGTTAAAGAGGCGAAAAGATGCAGAATGGTGAGTGTTCTTAAGTTTTTTAATTATTATTTAGTTATGTATGGAGAGTTTGGATGCTATGCTTGTATGATATATTTTGGTTCTGTTCTTAAGGTTTATTGAAGGAGATTTTGATGCATATGTGGAAAGAATTGAAAAACCTTATGTATGGGGCGGGGAACCAGAATTGCTAATGGCTTCTCATGTTCTCAAGTGAGTGCTTTTTCACTTTATCTCTTTTCATAGTCTTAATTTTTGCTCATACTGTTTTACCGTTTGCTTTGGTTCCCTTATTCTCCGTATCCAACTTTGGTCTTTGGTCTTTGGTCTTTGGTGGTTGGTAGGGTGTTTGTAACATTTGAGCATTAAGAGCAACAAATTTAGAACTAGTAGGAGTAGGTAAACTCGTAAAGTTGGTTGGTGATTATTAAAGACTGTGTGGCTAGTTGTTTTCTTTTCTAAATACCTATTTAGGAATTATGGCAAAAGGAAAGCTTATATTTGACTAAGTGACTGTTCACCTACGCCAAGATTGTCTATATTTTTGAGTTCAGTATAGTGCAAGGACCATTTCATGTGAAAGATTTATGGATATCTTTTCTTGCAACATAGGGCATATATGCTTTGTTGATATTGTAGCATGATAGGTTTTTAAATACTCAAATTTCTTGTGGATTATTGAAATTTTACTCTCTCTTTATCATCACAGGGCGCCAATTTCTGTGTTTATGATTGATAGAAGCTCTGGTAATTTAATAAATATAGCAAAGTATGGTGAAGAGTATAAGAAAGATGAAGAGAGTCCAATTAACATTCTATTTCATGGATATGGACATTATGACATAGTGGATGTTGTCTCTGAAGGTTACCAGAAAGTAGAAGGAGGGATATCAGAGAGTAGAAGCAGCCTAGAAGCTTGACATAAAACATACAATAAAGTCTTTCACATATTTATCAAGAATAAAGAATATATTTCCCGCAAGTGTTCCAAAAATTCCTTTCGGGATACAAGGAAAAGATGCTTCTATCCATCTCCTACCCATCTCTTCAAGCCCATGCTGAAATGACTTTATTCAAGCATTAGAATTATTTTCAATTTTGTAGATTCTGTAGTCTATTTGTTTTCTCTTAGTTTCAATTGTTATTGAGCAAACGTTAACAATTTCCGAGTGCAACTGTCTGAGCAAGCAGGGAATGCGATCTACTTAAACATGTGGGAATTTTGAAGTTACCATCTGTTTTAATATGCTAAACCAACTGATCATTCGTACTAGCTGGCATGTTACTCTTTGACTGGTAAACGAGAGAGTGTATTTCGTTACTTGCTGTTTTAAACCACTAAATAACTGGCAGCATGCCAGCGATGAGATAATCTTAAGTTGAGATCAGAGGGTTGGTTTTGTCATTAACCTTATAGAACCGTTTTTGCTTTGTTTAGCTTCTGATTGATATTTTTTTTCCCAGTAGTTATTAGCACACGGTATAAAATTGCTCGAATGGAAAATGTAGGGTATCCATGCATCATCTGAGTGCAAGCAGTAACGCTAATCTCTTGGGGTGAAGATCTTAAACTTGACTTCAAAATCTCTTGAGTTGCGAACTGATCCCAATTGCCATTTGTAAATCAGTATCCTAGAAACTGGAAACTCAGGGCATGTCACCAGTGCAATGGGGGGGAGTTACATTTGGTCCCTCACGTTTTGTGTTACTACTTAATTAGTATTTACTTTGGTTTTTGGGGCCTTCGTGGGCGAGTGAGCACTTCCATGCTGCCTACCTTTCTTAAATCATTGTGATTGAACAGTCTGAATATCGAAAGATTAGAATGACCTCTTTAAGTGGTGAAATATTCCCAAATTAGGTGGGGGCATATTCTCTTTCGCTTCTGACGTGCTGCTTATCCTATTTAAAAACCTTGGAATCTTTCTTTTCCTTCATTTTAAAAACCTTAAGATGCTATCTATATGAGCGCTTTTACTCGTCTGAATGGACCTCGAGGCAAGCGCAAATCTGCAATCAGTGAAAAAATGTACTTTCTGGGTGCCATTTGCTGGGAATCGATATTATTCGCACTTCTATTTTAGCTTCTGGCATTTTAATTCACTCCATAAACGAATAATGTACCTCCAAGGAGCGCAAATGTCACTTCCCTACTTGCTTCCCTGAAGTTAAAATTTGATGATACAATTTATCACATATAACCAGTGCGGTTTCGAACCAAAAATCATAAAGGCAAGTGGCACTTTCCACGATTTTGCTGAAACAATATGCTTCATTGAAATTATAATAAGTAAACGCCTATGGTAGCAGCTTCTCAATTTTCCCTATTAACATGTTTCCTCTTCCTTCTGTTTCAAGAATGAGGAGCAAGAGAGACGGAGAGGGTACCATACCAAGTTAGCGTTCAATTGCAGTACATTTCTTTAGACGGCCAAAGTGAATAAGTAATGGCGATTGTGATTTTATAATCCAGGTCTATTAGCAAGTTGCATGGGAAAGTGCGGATAAAGTATTCTCTGGAAATGCTCGTTGACAACCAAAAAAGAACTAAGCAGCCACTCTATTATTTGACTTCAGAGGCTGCAAAATAAAATGGTACAGATGTGTCCTTTGGACAATCCAAAAGATTCTTTCCAGGCTGCAAGAGTTTTTTTAGTAAGAACTAGGGACAAAGGTGCCAACGTACCCGAATCCTGCTGTGAAAAATGCCGTTGATTGAAGGAAAAGGTATATAAAGAAGTGGCTCTTTCCAAAAGCCACATCATAACACCCACAAAAGAATAGGTAAAACCCAACAAAGAGCTCCAAAAGATGTAATCTGCAAATTCAACCACAATATAAAACTTGAATCCATGTCGTATTTTGAATAGAAAGCCACGTTGCATATCGCTAAACAATTCGTGCGAATGGTAGACTATTTTTCAATTCTTCTTGCTGCTGACAGTACATGAAAGTTATACATGATCTTTTTTTTGCTTTTGTATTGTTGCCTAGAGTATAGTTTTGTGCGATGAACTGAAGGGTTGTATGTACTTGTACCTGTCTCCCATCCTGAAACGAGGTTTCTTGGGAACCTTAGAGCCCAACTTCGTCTGTAGGACATGTCCCAATTTTTCCGTGACAATCCACTCGTTAACTCTCCCTGCCTCAAGTAGACCTATGAATGTGGCCTTGGTTCGGTGCAGAGACATTACGTTTTCAAAGAGGATCCAGAAAATTACTAGGTGGAATGATCTGCAGAGCATGACGCAGCAAAAACATGTTACCGTATATGGCATTATTAATTAAAGAATTAGTAAGATTCTTTAGGCATGCAGGTAGAATAAAGAAAGAGGGAGAGACCTTGGTGTCCCAACTGCATTCAGAAGGGTAATTACAGACGGAATATAAACAGCTCCCCAAACCGGAACTTGTACTTCGGGAATCACAATAGTTGCAGGCAGGACAACGCAGTAGAAGATGAACGTGACCATATGTGCTACTATCTTCCGAACAAGGAAGAAACTGTATATTAGATAAAACTTCTTCCATGGAGAGACTTTCTGCATTAACGGAACATGAATTGTCAAGAGCGGCGTTGATTTTTAATCATCATTCTCACCCCTAAATGAAGATAAAAACAGTTGCCTTAACCTTGCATCTAACTATTTCCATAGCCATTTTCCTGAACAGATTAGCAGGACCGCAGGACCATCGATGTTGCTGGTGCCGGTATGCTTTGAAAGTACTTGGCAATTCATTCTTCACCTGATTGGGAACCGCACAAACAGAATATCAGGCACCCTATAATGCAAAATTTAAGGGAATTTGGGTTTTGATCTTTACATAATGGACGAGCCAAATTAGTCTGTTGCAGTTTACACTTCAAACGTACGGTCCATTTTTTTTTTTGAACTGTACCTCGACTTCACCAACATACACAAATTTCCAGCCTTTGAGACCGGCTCGGATAGCCAGGTCCATATCCTCCACAGTTGTTCTGTCCTTCCACCCTCCAGCTTCATTAAGTGCTGAAATTCGCCATACGCCAGCGGTTCCTACATGACGATCAAATGTTCGAGATTGTAAAATAGTTTGACACATTAATGTTAGAGCTAGAAGTCGAGAAAAGGTCCTACCATTAAAACCAAAAAAAGCGTAAGTGCGGGATCCAACTTCTTGCTCCACAATGAAATGGTAATTAAGAGACATCTCTTGCATTCTTGTCATCAAGCATTCATCAGAATTCACTGCAATTAAAGCCAGAAATTTATAGTTACAGTATAGGAAACTTCAATCTACAGCTTAAATTGAAGGGCAAGTGAGTGTAATCTGCAGAACCAAAGGAAGTTACCGAATTTCCAGCGGGTTTGAACCAGAGCTAACTCAGGATTATGCACGAGAAAAGGAACGGTACGACGCAAGAAATTATGCTCAGGTTGAAAATCAGCATCAAAGATGGCGACATAGTCACATAGCTTCACATAGCTATGCTTCATTCCTTCCCTAAGAGCACCAGCTTTATAGCCGTTGCGGTTCTCTCTAATCTCATACTTTATGTTTATGCCTTTGCTTGCCCATCTCTTGCACTCCTGCTCCTTTAAGGCCTGTAATTTTCAATTAACCCAAGTCCATCTCAATTTGCACTTTGCAGCAGAAAAAAAAAGGAATAAGAATTTGGGTAGACCTGGTCTACTAGACCTAGCGGATCAAATTTTGCCACATATTCAAGTCTTTGTAGGTTGGTAAGATAGTGTGCTAAATTCTGAGCTATTGGGTCTACGGAAACTGGGTCTACCCTAATTTTTGCCAAAAAAAAAAAAAAAGAACCTCAAAGTTTCCGAAGCGTATTTTTTGATGATTAAATGCTATGCAAAGCTGATGGGTTTTCAAAATTGGTAGTACTTTGGGGACCTGTGGCATGAATCGAATATAAAACACAAAAAAACCAGGATGCTGATCGAGCTAAAAAATAGCAAAAGTAATATCTAAATGATCGAAGTGAGCATCTTTAAATGGCAAAACAAAGAAGGGTAAAGTCAATTAGTAGTTTTTTTTTTCTAAAAAGAACAAACAAAAAGAAAAAGTTGTATACCTTTATTAGTGAGGTGATTAAGTTAGAAAACCATTTTTCAGGTATTCGATTGGCGATGCATGAAAAAAAGTTTTTCCGGTGGACTTTTTGGAATTTCAGAGTGTGAAAGTGGAATTCTGCAGCTACTATTTGAAAAGAGGAACGAACACATTTAACATTTCTATGATCTATCTCTCGCATAATCAAGGAAGCAGAGTGAACCTCGGAAGTTCCACTTTGACATCTTTTTGTTTTAGCTACCCCGGAAAGCTACATTTTTTACGTCCTCATATATTCAGAGAAATTATTTGATTGATAAAAGTTGGTTTTGCAAGGTGTTGAACCTTGATAGCAGGATCCGTTGAATCATCAAGAACTTGAATTATGATTCGATCAGTCGGCCATGATAAGCCGCAAGCAGCACCAATTGACAGCTGATACACCTAAACGTAAAACAAATGTTGCAGCACTCGAGGATATGAGCATTATGAGTAATAAACACGTCTGATAAATAAATAAGGCATCAAAATTGCTGATATATATAGCATTCACGAAGTTACTACTACTATGATAAGAAAAAAAGAGCAGTACGTACCTCTTTTTCATTGCACATTGGAATTTGCACTAAAACCATGGGGTAACCTAAATTTCCCATCTCCAAATCTTCCTTCATTGGCTCCCATTTGTGCTTCTTCTCAGGTTTCCACCTGAATATCTTTATCAAAACTACGACGATTCCCATATAAACTCTTTCCACGAATAACAGTATCGACATTGTCAGGCACAAAAAGACCATCATTTTCAAAAATGGCACCAACAATGCTGCTTTCGCCTGCTGCCATAGACGTCCAAGAAGGCCGATAACATCACCCGGGCCACCCTGGAAGGCCTCAGGTGGAATCACAGCCCCGGATGAAAGGCTCTCCATTTCTTGATCTTATTTTGTAAATAGCCAATAATAGTCCGCCGGAAGATTAAGCAGAGGCAGCAGCAGTAGTATCGCACTACTGCAAAGTCAGTTGAGCGGACACCGGAGCAGTGCAGCACTGGGGCTGCAGCATGGAATATAAAGAAGTGCGATATCTAATGCACGTGCTTTTTGATTGAGTGTTGCTTCGCGAGAACAACACGAATGTGCAAAGGCAATTCTTGCTTCGGTTTGGGAAACCTTTGATTTTTGCTTCGGAGTTACTCCATGCCAGATGGTGATAGCTAGCTAGCAGTTTTATCAAAATCTTGCAGGTTAGAAAGCAGGGTCAAGATGTATAGCATAATCAGTGGAAGGATCAAATCAAACATGAAAAGCTTTAGCTTAGTTGGTTCTTTCTTTTAAACAATAATGCTTCCATGATAGGCTTAAATAGAACCTAATGTTCATGGTGCAGCGGAAGGCTAAATGAAAAAAGGGAGGAGGGGGCGGGGGGCTTTCATGGACCAACAAAATCTCGATTCTTAGGTTTGGCATTATTAGTCAAATTTGCCACCTTTTACTTCATTCCCTGGTCTATTAGCTTTCCCAGAGAACTTTAAGAACAGCCATTAGTATCAGAGTCACAGTATGGGGTTTATGTTATTCCTTTATATATTAACACAATTGGGCGCGACAGTAACCACTGGCTCGAATACCAGCAGCACAACCCCTGATCAATTCCCATGTACTACCTCATTGTGTATCTGGGGCCGAAAGGCTGTAATACCTCCCAGTAAAAAATAAATAAATAAATAAAATTACTGGCTCAAATGGCACGAGTAATTGTACCATTAATTGTTGGCAAGTCAGAAGCATATTAATATGATACTATAAGTTTATTGGAGGCTTATCAAGTTATCTTATCACGAGTTCCCTGCCCAACTTTAATCCCAGTGATCTTTTTTAATGATAACTCTCCAAAAAGAGTCGATAAAACTACTTGACACAGTACGATGATAAGTAGTAGTTTAACCACCACTTTCAACCTCTTAGTTAATTTGTTGAATACATTTGTTTGGGCGTACGGTGTTTACTTCTAAGGTACATTCATTAGTTTCTTTTTTTTGTTCCTTTTCTTCGTGTGTGTGGGGGAGTATGCGTACTTGAAATTTTTATAAGAGCGTTACTAGTTTCTAATCTTCTTTTGATAGAATTGTTCTCAACAAATGGAGCAAACTTACAAATGAAAGGAGTGTGTTGCAAGTTTTATCAACTCACTAGTGCTAAGTAGTTAAACAATTAAAATCACAAGTTGCTAATAATTTCAATTCTTTTCTATTTTAGGCAAATTTAAAATTTTTATCTTCTTTGGATTGCAATTTTTTTGAGCTTTGCAGAGTTTTTGTATAAAACTACAAAAACTGTAATGTAACGATGTGATATATGTGAGGTAAAAATGTGTTAAAAAAATGTGTAAAGAACTATGCATTAGAAATTAAGAAATTTATCCACAAAAAGTACCTACTTAAAAAGAGACGGGAAAAAACTCTGTACACTCTTAATCAAAAATTGAAAATGGGAACCCTATTCAATTGCAATTTCAATTGTTAATTACTTAGCCTTGGTTATTTTAATTGAGAGGTCATTCAGCCTTTTTGAAATCTCTATTCTGTACAAATCCACTCAGCCTTTGTAAAAATATATATACAAAAAAAAAGGGCGATTTGCAATTCATAACCTTGAATTAGCCCTATATATTAGGGGAAAAGTTATACAGAACAAAGAAAGAAAGGAGCTACATGACAACACTCTTCGTTCATAAACCTCGTTTTGGAACTCTCAAGTTGTTAAGCACAACCTAGAAATCTTTGGTTCATATCCAAAAGATACCACGTCTAAATACAAAATAGATCTGGATCGTATCAAACGTTTTATCCTTTTTCTTTTTTTTTTTTTCCCTTTTCCCATTTTTAATTTGATAGCTTGAAGTTCATGGGGATAATTCAAAAGCAAAATACAAACAATTCACACCAAGATAAATCTCGTAAGAAATTAATTTCTTAATTATAAGGTTGTCCAAATCGGACAATTACCTTACCCTAATATATTCATGCAAACTCCGAATAAAGGTGCAAACAACCGTAGGAAACGAACAAAATAACCCCACTCGAGGTTGAGAAGTAACCCTTGTGCTTCTTTTGGAGTCGTAGAAACAAAGAAACAGAGCCTGCAGCACAGCAGGTAGTCCAAACTCCACCTAGAAAAGTAAAAGTAATTAGCAGTCGGCCGGTATCATTATAATCAGAAGGTTCTTCAATGATGAAAGTACTAAAAGAGAGTACTTATACCTAGAGCTAAAAGATGAATAAACCTAATCGAAACTCGTATTGACCTTCGCCTGGTAAGACTTCGTTTGAGCTTGATTCTCTGACTATTCAAATCAAATTTGAACAATATTTTATGTTCGATAACTTTCAAATTTGATAAAAAAAAAAATTTTGTTCAAACTCGATTTTGCAACTAAACAAGTCAAAGTTGAACAAAATTTGAAATTTATTAAAACAATCAAATAAACTTGAACACTAAGATATTCGATTTAATTAGACTCATTTACACCCCTACTTATGTCATAGTTTTGATAATTGGAGGATACCGAAAAATATAATAGTTTTTGGTGATTCTGATTATTTTCTATGATTGCTTTCCATAATCAAATTTTGTAAGATCTAAAGCACATGATAACCAGGCCATTGCCATTTGTAAAATGTACAGGTATTGGAGACGTGTTCATTTAAAAAAAAAAGGTATCCTTTTCCCCAAAATAGAAGAAAAAAGGAAATCATAAACTTTTGTGAGTATGTATTTAAATATTTAAAATAGCATTTCTCAAAATGTAACACTTTGAAAAGTATTTTTTTCTCCTGCTCCCTCATTTCTTCTATTTTACATATAATAGTTTTTTGCTAAATTATTGTAAATCAAACTGAAGAAAAGGTTATTCTTAAAAAAAAAAAAAAGTGAAGAAAAGTTTATCATAACCGATTTGCCATTGTGAATATTACATCATAACATGATTCAGCATCGAGATATTGACCAGCTGTTTTGATGGAGCTATCATTAATTAACTATATAGTATGATGATTAGTTTCAAAATCAAAATATGATTTTTATAGTGCATCCATTAGAGCAGTCTTGTAAATCAAATAATCAAATCGCATTGAACAATTTTCAACTGTCTATTAATATACTTTTCTTTTTATTTCCAAAAAAATAAATATTTTGTCACCACGGGGAAATCGTAAATCCGGACCACATGGACCACGGGCATCGTATGACCCTTCTGATTCAGGGCAGGTTGAAACTCATCAGCAACATGGGCATATGATTTCCCACCAACAACCGTAAACAACACACACACAGAACCTAAGCCAAATTTACAATCCAATTCAAAAGGCATGTTGACTTTCGGATTACACTGAGGAACTTAAGTTCTACACACACACATCACTCACAATCGATATGGGATAAAGGGAAAGGGGGAGGGGAAACACCAAGACTATTGTCAAAGGCTCATCAATGGCTTTTATCACTCCATGATTTTTCTTATCTACCAACAACCGTAAACAACACACACCCAGAACTTAAGCCAAATCCACAATCCAATCCAAAAGGCATGCTAATTTTCGAATTACACTGAAAAACTTAACTTCTACACACATACATCACCCACAGTCGATGTTGGATAGAGGGAAAGGGGAGGGGATAGGCTCACAGTCGATGATTTCCCATTGAACGCTTTTTGATGCAACAAGTCAAATACTGAGCGGGCTAAAAATCAACACAAAATAATCTATTGAATAATATTAGAATGCAAATTTGTCGTTTTGCATTGTTCTACATCAAGTCTTACCACGTAGTCTTTTGTATCCTAGGCGTGTGTTTGGTAGCAACTTTTCCCCAAATAATTGTTTTGCTTACCTCACAATTATAATTTTCAAGCGATTTTTTTATTTTACATGTATCATATTACAAAAAATGCAAAATAATTATTTCAAATAGTTTCTCTATCGATCTAGAGCTTTTGAATTTTGACCCTATATATATATATATATATATATATATATATATATTTGTATTTTTTGTTGCTTGACAATCACGAAGGATGTTCAGCGATATTCTCATAATTCAAAGGGTAAGTAAATGTCATCGACCTTTAGTAATTTCTAGAATACCAATGATCACGACTAGAGTAACGCATTCAAAGCCTTCTATACCTTTTCAAGTATCCACGACACTAACAAGTCCTATTCTACTACATTTTTTAATTTTTTTTGTCATATCATTACTTATTTATTTATTTATTTTGTAGAAAGAGATACTCCAGACTTTACAATGAGAGAGGGGGAAAAGACAGAGTTTAAAAGTCGAACTAAAGATGTTACTATCACCTGACCACAATCAAACTGAGTGTAAAAAGACAAATCACTTGTTTAAATATTAACAAGTGAAGTATTCATATAAAGTATTCCATCACTTTCGTATCAATTTCTAAACATTACCTCAGCGTTTGCTACAAATATGGCTGTGTTAGTATTAGTATTACATGTTAGCAAACAAACGGTAAGTCTTGGCATCCAAAATTATCTGCCTCACCGATGCAACTGCCCCAACCAAGGCCAAAACTGTGGATAAAACTGCAATAATTGTGTTTCCCCAGTAGACCAAGCCCTTCCTTGAGGGTTTGAACGTGAGGTTATAGAAAACCATTGGCAAAATGAAATCCAAAGGAATGCAACCGAAGGCCCCAAACAATGCCATAATGTCTCCAAAGAAAGGTAGCATTGCGGCCAAGGTTGTTGCTAGGACGATGGATAATGACCGGAATATCAGACGGGGAACAACATTCCTGATCGAGAATTGGTCTTTCTTAGGATCTGCAAATGCTCGCTCTATAACAACATTTGTTGGTTGCATGTAAACCTAGAATCACATAATGTCATCAAGGTTAATTGGCTAAACATATCAACAAGGTTTACTTGGAGTTCCAGCGCTATCTTCGCCATTTTGGTGAATAAAGTAGTCATGAATTTGGTATGTAATGTGACATGATATAA